CACACACAGAGACACAGACACACACACACACACACACACACACACAGACACACAGACACACACACAGACACACACACACACACACACAGACACACAGACACACACACAGCACACACACACACACACACACACACAGACACACACACACACACAGACACACAGACACACACACAGACACACACACACACACACACACACACACACACACACACACACACACACACACACACACACAGACACACTCCTCTGTGTGTGTGTCTTAGCTCTCTGATAATTCAGCGTGATGTCTGAACGAGTCGACCTCTGATGAGTTCTCCTTCACACATTTACCCCTCTTACACACACACACACACACACACACACACACACACACACACACACACACACACACACCCCTCATTCAGAAGCCCACTAGCAGCTGGAACACATTACCCAGCATGCTCGGCTCCGCCACGCTGCGGTAGGTTAGTCAGAAACCACGACGGCAGGAGAGCTGCTGAAGAAGAGGAAAGAGAGGAGAGATGATTCCTCCTTCATCTTCTCCTCCCCCGTCTCCTCCTTCTCAAACATCTTTTGGTTGATGTTTCTTCTTCTTCTTCTTCTTCTTCTTCTTCTCCTTCTTCTTCTCGTCCTCTCTCCAGTCGTTCAGCTTCAGATGGTGTTTCTGCTCTTCAGTCTTTTCTGTAAACATGAAGAAGAACAGTTTAGTGAAAGAGATCTATGAACAGATATCTGACCTGATGATCCTCTCTCAGCTGTGAGGCGTCCACACAGCTCTGCTCCGTGGTGCGTTTAAGTGTCTGCATGCTCAGTAGGACATGTGATTTGTGTTTTTCAGAAGTACAATGCAGACTACGACCTATCGGCTAAAGAGGGCGCCGACAGCCTGGCCTTCATCTCTCTGATGGAGGAGAGACTGAAACCTGCTCTGGTGACAATGACAATGACAATGTTTCATCATTGAACACATTCAGGAAGTGTTCATGTGCTGACGACCCGCCTCTCTCTCCGTCACAGATCTACGCCTTCTGGGTGGAGCCTAAGAACTACGTGGACTTGACTCGTCGCTGGTACGCCGACCACATGCCGTTCCCTCTCAACTTCTTCCTGCCCGGGCGGATGCAGGGCGCTCAGCTGGAGAAACTCCGGCTGCTCCGAGGAGATGAGAGCCTGGAGGCCGGAGAGGAGGTGGAGAAGGAGGTGAGGAAGGAGGTAGAGAAGGAGGGGAGGATGGAGGAGGGAGATGAGGTAGAGAAGGAGGTAAGGATGGAGGAGGGAGAGGAGATGGAGAAGGAGGGAGAGGAGGTAGAGAAGGAGGTAAGGATGGAGGAGAGAGAGGAGATGGAGAAGGAGGTGAGAAAGGAGGAGGTAGAGAAGGAGGTAAGGATGGAGGAGGGAGAGGAGATGGAGAAGGAGGTGAGGATGGAAGTGAGGATGGAGGAGGGAGAGGAGGTGGAGAAGGAGGGAGAGGAGGTAGAGAAGGAGGTGAAGGAGGAGGTAGAGAAGGAGGTGAGGATGGAGGAGGGAGAGGAGGTAGAGAAGGAGGTAAGGGTGGAGGAGGGAGAGGAGATGGAGAAGGAGGGAGAGGAGGTAGAGAAGGAGGTGAAGGAGGAGTTAGAGAAGGATGGAGGAGGGAGAGGAGATGGAGAAGGAGGTAGAGAAGGAGGTGAGAAAGGAGGAGGTAGAGAAGGAGGTAAGGATGGAGGAGGGAGAGGAGATGGAGAAGGAGGTGAGGATGGAGGAGGGAGAGGAGGTGGAGAAGGAGGGAGAGGAGGTAGAGAAGGAGGTGAAAGAGGAGGTAGAGAAGGATGGAGAGGAGATGGAGAAGGAGGTAGAGAAGGAGGTGAGGAAGGAGGAGGGAGAGGAGGTAGAGAAGGAGGTGAGGATGGAGGAGGGAGAGGAGGTAGAGAAGGAGGTGAGGATGGAGGCGGGAGAGGAGGTGAAGAAGGTGGTGAGGATGGAGGAGGGAGAGGAGGTGGAGAAGGAGGTGGAGAAGGAGGTAGAGAAGGAGGAGGTAGAGAAGGATGGAGGAGGGAGAGGAGATGGAGAAGGAGGTAGAGAAGGAGGTGAGGATGGAAGAGGTAGAGAAGGAGGTAAGGATGAAGGAGAGAGAGGAGATGGAGAAGGAGGTGAGGATGGAGGTGAGGAGGGAGAGGAGGTGGAGAAGGAGGTGAGGATGGAGAGGAGGTAGAGAAGGAGGTAAAGAAGGAGGTGAGGATGGAGGAGGGAGAGGAGGTGGAGAAGGAGGTGAGGATGGAGGAGGGAGGAGGGAGAGGAGGTGGAGAAGGAGGTGAGGATGGAGGAGGGAGGAGGGAGAGGAGGTGGAGAAGGAGGTGAGGATGGAGGAGGGAGGAGGGAGAGGAGGTGGAGAAGGAGGTGAGGATGGAGAGGAGGTGGAGGTGGAGAAGGAGGTGAGGATGGAGGAGGGAGGAGGGAGAGGAGGTGGAGAAGGAGGTGAGGAGGGAGAGGAGGTGGAGAAGGAGGTGAGGATGGAGGATGGAGGAGGGAGAGGAGGTGGAGAAGGAGGTGAGGATGGAGGAGGGAGAGGAGGTGGAGAAGGAGGTGAGGATGGAGGAGGGAGAGTGGACCTTCACAGAGACCTTCACTGACATGTAGAGACGGGTCATGTAGATCAGATGTTGTGTCTCTCTCTGCGTTTAGGAAACATGTCTCTAATCCTCCACAGTGACATCATCAGCTCCACATTTTTCCATGTTGAGCTCAGAGTAGTTTTTCCATTGAAGCGGTTGGAACACTTTCTCTCCTCAGAGTTTCTCTGCTGGAAAATCTGCAGCTTTAAAAACCATCTACTGTGGAGAGAGGTCAGAGGTCATGCAGCGTTCAGGGATCGTGGTTAAACATCCATTTATTCCTGTCAGCATGAAAACCTTCAACAGGAAGTGAAAGAGACGTTTACGTCGTCTGAAGAGTTAGAGACTCTGCAAGAAAACATCCTGTGATCCATCTGCTGTGTGTGTGTGTGTGTGTGTGTGTGTGTGTGTGTGTGTGTGTGTGTGTGTGTGTGTGTGTGTGTGTGTGTGTGTGTGTGTGTGTGTGTGTGTGTGTGTGTGTGTGTGTGTGTGTGTGTGTGTGTGTGTGTGTGTGTGTGTGTGTGTGTGTGTGTGTTTCAGCTGTACCGGGATGCTACAGAGTGTATGAACCTGCTGTCCCAGCGCCTCGGCTCACACAAGTTCTTCTTCGGGGACTCGTAAGTTTGTCTGGATTTGATTTGTGGAGCGACTGAATCAAAGGCAGAGAAGTTTAATGTCCAACAACCACCAAAGAAACATTGTTAACCAGTAACGCCGTCCTTGAACGCACCATCCATCCAAATACTTTAAGTTGATGTGAACGTCACCCTCCTGCCTTTGATTCAACACTCCTCTCCACGCCTCATCTAGTATTTATACCTGTTTGTTACCTTGGCAACCACACCGGAAGTCCTGGACATCCCATGTTCAATCGTTTCTTGTTGTTTATTATCAAAAATCTCCTGCACGCTGTCTGAAAGGGTTTGGGTAAAAAAGTCAGAGTGAAGATCTTAATGTGGATAAAATCTCTGACGTGTTTCTCGGCAGGCCTTCGTCTCTGGACGCCTACGTCTTCGGTCACTTGGCTCCTATCCTCAAGTCCAAACTGCCCAACGGGAAACTGCAGCAGCACCTGAAGTCTCTCGACAACCTGACCAACTTCTGCACCAACATCCTGCTGCTCTACTTCCCCCGAGACGGCCGAGGTGAGCGCTGCCAGAGACGGGCCGTTCAGGGTGTCCTGTTAGTCAGGGCGCCCCTGGTGGTCAAACACAGAATTACACTCAGTTTGAAACATTTCACAAAGTGTTGAAGTTTGACCTTCATGGCCACCGTAGCTCAAAGACGTCCTCCATCTTGTGTCTCTTTCAGCAGAGAGCTCCAGCCAGAAGACGCCGGCGCCCCCTGAGAGCGGAGACTTCGACCACGTCCCCAACAAGCGCAGGAAGCAGTTGATGTCGGTGCTGGTGGCTCTGGGCGCCATGCTGAGCTACGCCCTGCTCACCGGCATGGTGTCCATCCAACACGTCCACCAGGAGGCGCTGGAGGAGCCACCAGACCTGCAGGGCATTGGCTCCCCTGAGGAGGAGGAGGGGGACTGAGAACAGGTGCATCATGGGACTCTGAGGACAGAAGGCGAGATGGTCAGTAGGAGTAACCGGTGATGTCTCACTCTGATGAGTTTTTACATCACCAAAGAGAGAGAGGAGCATCGGGAGGCTGAAAGCAGACAGGAAGTGACCTGCTTCATGTACAGACATTAAAGGCTCAGTCTGCAGATTTACTTTTTAACTGTTTATAAAAAGAAGAACACACATCCATCTTTTTCCTTTGAATAAATTAATTTGACTTCCTGTTTGTTTGTTAAAGATGTTTTCTGTTCTTCAGTTCATGTTCTCTAAACCGACGACGCATCATCGCAACATGAATAAAATCACATGAAACAAGAAGAACTGAGTTTTTAATGAACATCAGAGTTTACAGAGCTGCTCACTCGGCTCTACATTCTACAATTCACTTATCAGACTCTTTTATCCAAAGTGACGTACATCAGAGAGTAAGAACAACACAAGCAAGGATCTAGAAAAAAGGGAACAATGTGAGTAAGAGCAAACGATCAGCTTTGAGTCTGATTGGACACACAGGTGCTGACAGGAAGTGACCAGAGGCAAAGCACAACATTGAGGGCAGTTCTTGAGAGCTCTAATCAGTATAGAAACCATCTTATAAGTCGTCGTTATCAAACAAAAACCATCGTCATTACCATCATCATCATCAATAATATGGAGACCATCATCATTAAGTTAGTAGGTATTCATGAAAGAGCTGGGTCTTTAGCTTTTTCTTAAAGGTGCAGAGGGACTCTGCAGATCACATGGAGTTTGGAAGTTCATTCCACCACCGGGGGGCGACAGAGGCTCACATCATTCAGGCTGCTTGAGGAACTTAAAGGAGTTGTTTCAGGACTCAGGAGATCGTGGTGCATTCAGGGACTCAGACGTGTTCCAGATCACAAAGGTTGACTTGAGGAGTTCATGAAGGACTGTTGTTTCTGCGCAGATCTAGAACAGTTCAGGAGTCTGTGGTAACTAAAACAATAAATGACACCACACTGGGTGTGTAGGATGACTTTGTTGTTGCCGTGGTAACAAACAGGTATCAATAGTGTTTGATTTTTACTTGAATCATATCAAAGGTTCAAACCTTTATTCTCAGAGCAAACGTGACGCAGGACAAAAAGAAAACCACACCCCCAACCCGTCCTGACCGGGTCCGGACCCCGGGGACAAACAGCTGCACATGACGCCATCACACAGGAATCCTGCTCCGGCTCCTGTTGGCCCGATGCTGCCCCCCCCCCCCCCCACACACACACACACACACACCACCACTTTAATGAGCTGATCTGGAAGCAGTTTGCGGATCTGGACTCTGAGAACACAAAGATCAGAAAGAGAACGGGAGGTTTCACTCTGACAGTTTTAATCTGAGCTCTCTTCTGCTTCATGCTGCAGATTTAACGCTCCAGCGGAGGAGGGGGGGAGGAGGCAGACCACTGCTGTCGAGGGCGGAGGCGGAGTTTCCTCCCTCCCTCACCTGCTGTTAAACGCAGGTTTCCATGGTTACAATCCAG